AAGAGCAGCAGGAACACCCCCCACTTCAGCCGTGTCGCATGCTCTTTGACGTGGATGAGGAGTGAAACCCGGTTGATGATAATTTGCATCAAGACTTGGACCTGCAAGAAGACGTATATCAGCCACCTGGCGCGCTATGCTTCATAAATGGTGTTCGCGTACCTGAAAGCACCAGAGGACGACTATGGCAGCAATGCATGTTAGTTCACTCGATACTCTTAACCCGGTTTGCGTGAGGAGGCTCCGACAAGGAGGACACAGTGACTTACCGATGGCAAACCAGAGCCAAAAACTGCATGCACGGTTAGCTGCAGCACTACCATCAGGGCATATGAATGGCGACTAGAGTAGGAGGAGAGGAAACAAGAATACGGCCTACCTTGACGGGATGATCGCCCATAGATTGAGCCAGGAGAGAATCGACATAGTTACATTGGCTAACCATTCGCCCCAGATCATGGCGATGTACACCCCTAGCCTGTGGGAGCTCTTCCAGCATCGTCGAGTCTGGTAGACGGCCTTCGCGGCCCCGAAAACCGCCAGGCCGTGGGAGAAACCCAGGATAAGACTTGCCGAATTCATCTCATCCCAGCCAGGGTCTTGCCGCTCGTACCACGGTGGTACCAAGAACCCGACTTGTTCCAGCATTCTTCCGTGCTCCCCCGTCCCGAGTTCTTGTCTCAGCGATCCGAGCCGGTTAAGCTGCGAGTAGTCATCGAGGCGCGGGGAATATGTAGGTTTTCCTCCCTGAGGGCTTTTGCTTTGTTAAGCAGTCAGAGACCAGGCCCCGATGAACCCCCACGTATATACAGAAATAGGTGTGGTGGGGCGGTGTAAATGTCAATCTGGCCCCGGCACTTCACCAGTGCCACATTGATCAATTATGAGCCGAGCGTGTAGAGTGTTCGATCTCTGCCACCAGATGTGCGTGCGGCCGAGATTTGAGGGTAGAGGAAGGCGACCATAAGAGCGTTCAACAAATCTAGACGCCAAGTACAGCTAGGAAGGTTCGAGACCCATCAAGGGGGTGCATTCGCCTCCTGGTCGGTAGATATAGCGGCTTCAGTACCGACCGACGTGCTAGGCACTTAGGGCAGGGTCGGGTCTCATGCATGCTTGATAGCTTTAAACCTTATCAAGCCGCGGGCATCGCCCTTTATTTTTATGTTTGTTCACCTTGGAATTCGTGACAAGTCTGAGACCTTGATCACTAAACATTGCCACGCTTAAAAAAAAAAAAAAAAAAAGAGAAAGAAGAAATAAGAAAATTGTCCGAGATTTGATCCGTCCAGCTTGGACTGGTCCTAGAAGCGTGTGCCCTCTGTAATTGGATGATAGTTGAAGTTATACGCGATCGGCGTTTGTCGACCGTGTGTGCAACCATCGAGCACGCTTCATTAGACCGAAAGCTTGAGCTCTAGTCTAACCTGGCCAAGGGGGGCATTCCTGCCCTTCCAAGGAGTTATTGGCGCCATGTTCTTTTTGCGAACCACCACCGCGTCATTCACACGCGCTCATCGTTCGATTGTTGCAGGAAAAAGAAAGTTCTGGCGCATGCTCTGCGGACAAGCCGCCAAACACCGACCGCTACCAGTCTTGCGGCTTGCATAGTCTTTTTGCTTCTGGAAGGTTTAGTCCCACAGGTGATGGCCAGCACGTACTGCTTTATACCTCGTCATGCCGACTATAATGAGATCCGTTACTCGATCCCGGACGTGCTCCAAGTGGAGCTTCACGGGTTATCTAACAGCGTGGGGAATGGAATCCACAAGCAGGTGGATCGTGGTATGGTGTGCAAACTCCACCCTAACTAAAGATTACCGTTATGGAGAACATCGAAGAGCCGCAGCTTCACTCATCTGCTCCACCTTAACTTGGAAAGCGATACCCCAGACTGCTCGTATGAGGCCGAGTGGGGGGCCGGCTCGTCCTCTTATAGGTAGTACTTCAAAGCCGCCTGCTTAAACGTAATCTTGCCATGAAGAGCAATGTTTCAAGCGATTACCCTCCAGCAGCATTGAGATTATGGAAAGAGAAAGCTTACTTCGTTTAGCCGTACTCTCCTCTTAGTTGTCATTTTCACCCTTCGACGTCCGGCCAACTCGGTGCATAATTGACAGCAAGTCCTCGTTCTCGCCCAGGTAATCGACATGTGAAACACGAGACCGGACTTAAAAGTAAACAACGGAAAGAGTGCCTGCCTCTGCGATCCCACACCGCCCTGCAGCTCTGATTCAGGGCCTTGCCGGATTTTTCCCATTGGATTCAATTAAGACTTCCATTTAAGAAAGAAACATTCCATGCATATGTGTTTCTGCATACGGCCTAGTCCTCAGCTGATAGTAATCGTCATGCAGCCAAGTCTCTTTTTTCTTTTTATCAGTCCGTTAAAGCAAGGCTCATAATTAGATCCCAAAGAGTACCTCCCCAAAGTATCAGATTTGAACGCCCCCGCCAACAGAGGCATGGGACAAGACCTCACAGTTGGAGTTACCTCTTTTCCCCGCACGTGAACAATTCAGCCTCTGAAAGACGTTTGTGACGCAATCTTATCTAGATATGCACAGGGGTACAGATCCAGCTTGACAGCGAACATATGGAAACAAGTGTCCGGAAGGTTTCTCGTTATCACAGTAATTTTTCTTGCAAAGCCCTTGAACCAGTGACAAGCTATCGGAATGTGTTTTAAGGGAGTCGAATGTCACGGTTAGCTAGATGACACACACCAAGTGGCGGTGTCTCAATATATCTAGGGTTTCGATCGTACATTGACAGAATGGCCAACAGAGAGAGATCTACCCATCTTGAGCCCGTAGCGGAGGAGGTGGAGCAACTGGCACCTGGACCTTATCACCACCGCGATGCTGCCGCCGAATTCCTCAACAAGAACCCTGAGCAGAGGGTTGTAGTCACCTCGGCAGACGACAAGCGCATCCTGCGGCGTATAGACCTATTCATCCTCCCCATCATGCTGGTCGTCTACTTCCTCCAGGGGCTGGACAAGGCCACTCTCTCTTACGCCTCGGTATTTGGCCTAGCCGACGACACCGGCCTCGTCGGCGACCAGTACAGCTGGCTCGGCAGTATTGTCTACTTGGCACAGCTGATCATGCAGCCGCTGCTGGCTTACCTGCTCGTCCGCCTCCCGATCGGCAAGTTTACCAGCGTAACGGTCTGTCTCTGGGGCGTCGCACTGTCGTGCATGGCCGCCGCTCCCAATTTCTCCAGCTTGCTGGCCACCAGATTCTTCCTCGGCGCCTTCGAGGCCGGTGTTGCGCCGTCATTCGTGGCCATCACCCAGATGTGGTGGCGGCGCCGAGAACAGACGGTTCGAACCACCTACTGGTATTCCATGAACGGGCTTACATTTATGGTATGCGCTGTGCTTCTTTCGACAAAAAGATCTTGCCGTTAATTACCATCTTGAACGCGTATAGTTTGGTAGTTTGATCACATATGGACTGGGTCACATATCTTCTAGTCTTCATTCATATCAGGTACGTTTGACAGAAAGGCACTTGCACAAGCTTGTCTGACGGGAGGAGTCTCCAGATCATTTTTTTATTCTTTGGCATCATCACCGTCGTGTTCTCCTTCGTGATGTTTTGGTTCATGCCTGACTCGCCTATGGAAGCAAGGTTCCTCGAGCCTCGCGATAAGCTCATCGCGATAGAAAGGCTCCGGATGAACCAGATGGGCGTTGTCTCGCGCGAGTGGAGAAACGACCATCTTAGAGAGGCTCTATTCGATCCGAAGACGTGGCTATGGTTTTGCCTAATCTTCTCGATCAGCATACCCTCTGGTGGTATCTCGACGTTCGGTCCCTTGATCATTAGCACTTTTGGTTTCAACAGCTTCCAGACCATTCTATTCAACATACCGTTTGGATTGGTACAGCTGATTGCGTGCCTCGTGTCCGGGTTTCTCTCCCAACGCATCAAGATGAAGGGGCCTATCATTGCTTTGCTGTGCTTTCCCGCCATAGCAGGCTGTATCGTCCTTTCAGTTCTGCCGCATGAAGCAGAATATCGAGTCCCGCTGCTAGCTGGATACTACATTCTCTCTGTCTACCCCGGAATTAGTAAGCATACGTTCAATGTATCTCAAATCATCCGAAGCAGCCATTTAATAGCCACCCAGCTCCCCTCATATACGCGTGGTCATCACAAAACACCGCCGGTGATACTAAACGCAAATGCAACAGCGCCGTGCTTTTTGTTGGACAATCCGCAGGAAATGTCATCGGCCCCCTTCTCTACACAACGGAAGAAGCACCAGCGTACCCTCGTGGCTTGCATTCTAATCTAGCCATGTATTGCATTATCATTATTTTGGTAGGTATCACTTCTGCCTATCTCGCGTTCTTGAATAAGACGCATGCAAAGAAGCGTGTTGCATTGGGCAAGAGCGCAGTCATTATTGACACCAGTCTCCAATCCGCTGACGAAGTCGCAATCGGCCAAGCGGCAATAATCAACACTACTGACGTCGGAACAATCGAAGGAATTGTTGCAAGGACACAGGCGACTGGAGACCGCGCTTTCGATAATTTGACGGATCTTCAGAACGAAGAATTCATCTTTGTATATTAAATCTTATAATTAATGCACAGATAGATTGGTATGACAACTAAAATTAACATGGGGCAGGGGAGAATAGTGTATGTAGAAGAAGTCCGGTGATAACTGCTCCAATATCGCATAGATTTGTTCAATGGCCATCCAGTACATTGAGCTAGATTTACGTTAAACAAAGGCTGGTAGATCAGGAGTATATAAAAAGACAAGACAAAACTCACATTTGTGTCCACTAATTACATAAAACCGAAACTCTTATCCGCCTCTAATACACAATATATGAAACAATGGCGAAGGATTATTGACCAGGAAAACTGACAATAGCACGATTGTTCTACTCGATATAGTAAAAAGAAAAGCCCATTAAAAAATTAACTTGTTGAGGAAATTTGAATGACATTTAAAATTCGAAAAAAGAATAGTTGACAAGAGGGGGATTCGAACCCCCGCCTCTTGCGAGACTGCAATTCACCCGTTTTGAATGGGCAAGCTTCGAAGCTTGAGTGCAGCGCCTTAGACCGCTCGGCCATCTTGCCTTGTTTGATGATTAGTGGACGCCTTATTACAATTTAAGTCAGTGCGTAGAAAATTGCAACTTGATCAGCCAATCATACACGCTAAAATGTTGTAGGCTTACCTCAAGCGGAATAACCTGAAAATCACGCAAGTCGTTGCGTACACATGCACGTCAGGAGAAGCGAACCCACTTCATTCCGCTTGGCAGAGACTTTCTACCATGTGTCAGATCCAATGTACAAGGATGCTGCATCGCAGAATTTTCTTCTCCTATTCCTTCAATTTCTAAGACCCTTGAGATATAGGATTAGTTGGGTCGAATATGTCGATCCAACCCACAATAACAGTCACTACCCATCAACTGGGTCACACACAAACCCACACACGCACACACACAACTTGCGGGTGCTGACTGAATTTACGAGGTCAAAATGTAGATCCTGCCTCTACCGAAGGAGTAATTGGCCAACTATCCACGATGATGAGTCTGAACTATTTTAGCTCTGCTGCCTGGCTATTCTCAATGCCAGCGGAACATCCGGGCAATGGCCATTGTAGATTGCATAATCTCAGCATCGACAGTTATTATATCCTCACCAATCCGCAAGCATCTGATATCTAACGACACAGCGCCCGCCGGCCTTGTGATAACTACCACACCACCAACGCTCTACTTTGCAGGATGATCTCCCTGCATTGCCGTCTTCTTCGCGGGGGAAATCATTCAAGATATTCCGCCAGAAATACGTACTATGTACAACTCACTTGTTAGCATGAGAAATGGGGACCATATATACGTACAATTGAGTTTTTGCCCATTACCCACCACGTTAGTCTAGCCTGCCAAACATCGGAGGTTAACTGACCTCCCCCGTCACAATGCTAGCATTATTTATTGGTTACTTGCAGTGTGACGGCTACGTCGGTGCCGAAGGGTTAAACTAGAAGCGGCCGAAGCTAGAGGGAGATACTAGTCAGGCAGAGTTCTAATGAGGCCGGCCTTCCCAACTTTACTTAACTAAGCGACTTATCTTATATGTCCACGCTCGGGACAAAAGTGTGCGCCGTGGTTAATGGAGTAACGCAGAGGAGCACCTCAGCGCCCGGAATATCCCTTTCCCTGTGTAACGAATGCCTTGCTAGGATGTACAGTATAACACTGTATGCGCAAGAGATCAGCCGCAAAAGCGCTTCCCTCAAATGAGACATCCACAAGATAAGCATGGGTTACGTCAGAGTAGATGTCAACATCATTACGTCAAATAAAAACAGAGGAGGACTGGAGAACCATACGCCTTGCACTGCCAATCCCCATGAGCATGAGACCACCCCCACGGCAAATCAGCCTGGAAGTGGGTAAGAACAGGCTCCAGGGTATTTAATCGCTCGGCGACAGCGAGCAGCCCAGATTGTCTGCTGCTCGCTTGGCCAGCCGCTTAACGTTACAAGCTGCCACTGCGGATAAGGTGAGAGGGCGTTTCAGGCGCACCGTGCATGTGTGAGCCCGTGTTGACAATAGTTCGGACATAGTAGTCTGCGAATCGTACCACGGCACATGCGGATATCGAAACTATGCGTGATGGCATCTGGCCATGTGGCGTCGGACCTGATTTGGTGGCTACGGTTAAGAGGAATGAGGCCAACGCGAACGATGCCGATTGCCACATCTTCATAGCTTCTAGATTTCTTCGGAGACACTATGGAGGGACTAATATCTCCCACACTTCTTTCCCTACATTGAGTACGTAGAGAAGAGGGGTTAGTGGGATGGGATGCCGGCCGGCAAGCCCAGGCTCCACGTTGATATGCCTGCCATTCATTGTATCAGAGCCTAGAGAGGCACCTCCTTCGTTTATAAGTACTCAAATAGGCCGTGATGGTTCCCGACGCGAAGGGTGGCTAGATTGCGCCTCCAACCCACTGTACTCGGATCAGGTTACTGGATCGGGTACTGTAGCGGGGAGCTGGAGATAGAGTTTTTTTTATCTCATCTGCCAGGCCCAGCCAATGTTAAACGAGTGCCGCCTTGGTTACCAGCAGCTAGCAGGAGGAGAAAAAACGCCGAGGCTACCAGCTCTAGCGTCAGCCTCTAGTGCCCCGCAAGCGCTCAAGCGACTATTTAGCGGTTCCCGACCCGTTGGGGTCGGCCCATAAGGGGACAGGAGAAGCGCTACCGCTCTGAGATGTAACTTATGTGCTCGCCCCAAAGGGGCTGCATCCGACGCTACAGACATAGGCAGTAAGTACACGGCGACCCTGGTTGCGGGGCTAGTTGTTATTCTTTCAGCTAAATCTCGCTGATGACGACTGTACCAATGGACTAAACGACAACGGCTACTCAGCCGGTTGGACAGGATTGGAGCGGGCGGAAGGCTAGAATAAGACAAAATAGGTAGTTATCTCGATCTAGCAAGGCTCGTCTACATGCAGTTATCGTCTCTCTACCGAGATTCCCCTGAGTATGTAGCCAGGGTGGTACGTACTATAGGGCAGTGGGGCCACCCCCGTCTCTGGCTTGTGACGGTTACGGAGCCCCAAATATAGGTTTCGAAGTTTAGTGCTGCGGCAATCTTTGGGGGGAAGGGGTGAGAGTTCGAACTCCATTAACACGTCAGTTCCCCAGTCCTATTTCTATGACCAAGCCCTCTATCCCTGCGGATCCAACTCTCATGCTCGAGCCGCAGGAGCCCCAGTGCCTGACTTCTCCTCGTGCAGCGCGTCACGTTCCACTCACCAAACCCGAAATCTAGCAGCCATGAGTGCCATCGAGACGGAGCTATGGATATGGTACCCCATAACCCTCGTTGTGGTTGGGGCCCGCATGTACGTTGTGAATCCTTGATCCTATGGAGGGACCGCCGGTGAAGATGCGCAGTATGCACAGATGTCTAATCTTTACCCTCCAGAGTATCGCGCAGACTTTTATTCGGATCGTTCAAGAAGTTGCAGCTCGATGATTACCTCATGTTAGTCGCAGTGGTATGACAAACTCCCCCACCGCCTCTTGGGCGCGAAACATGCTGTGTGCTAGTTCTGACCGGTACAGGTAACTTTTACGATCCTGATAGTAGGCGTGAGGATACTCTCTTATACAGAAACCAACCTCATCGACCCAAGCCAGCCGGTCGATCTCACACCCGATGACATTGCGGAAAGAGTCTACGGGTCGAAAATGGTCATCGTAGTCGAACAGATGCAAATTATGACAATCTGGATTGTGAAGACATGTCTGTTGATTATGTACAGTCGCTTAACGTCAGTATTCCTTCACTCACTCCACTCGATACGACAGTCTTTTCTGACTTCCTATACAGAACGAGTTTGAACCAGAACATAGTCGTGAAGGCAGTTGCAGTGTATGTGGCATGTGGGTTCGTCATCATGGAAATATTGTTCTTCGGGGTCTGGTGTCGGCCGTTCTGGCACTATTGGGAAGTACCCACGGATAACCGTAAGAAACTTCCTCTTTGCTCTCGAAACCTTTGCTTCCTACTGAGCTGACATTATTCTCCTCCAGTCAATTGCTCCGCAGAGCACAATCACATGATCACAAACGCTGTGCTCAACATATCATCCGATATCATGATCATCTCGCTACCCATGCCTGTATTCATCCAGGCGCAGCTACCACTCAAGAGGAAAGCGATTCTTTGTGCCGTGTTTGCACTCGGAAGTTTTACCGTAAGTCGCAAGGCGGCGCTGCAACTCATTCTCCAGAGACTGTGAAAACTAAAGAGTTGGACAGATCCTATCCGCAATCCTCAACAAATACTACAGTTTTAGTGAAACATATGGTACCGATTGGATATTTTGGTATATTAGGGAAGCCGCGACCGCGATCATCACCTCTTGCCTGCCTCTTTGCTGGACATTGATGCAGCGTCTCTTCCGAGTGGGCTCCTTCAACGGCAAATCCTCAGGGCAGCGAACGGGCGAGGCCACGTCACGATTCCGATCCGCGTACGGAAATCTCACCAGCAGAGCCAGGGAGGAAAACAGGAGGAAGGACGACCTGGATGGCCTTGACGTGAGCCCGTCTGAGAGCCAGGAGCAGATCAACCCATCATACGGGATCCCACTGAAGATATACCAACACAACGAGGTGCGCGTTACGTCGGAGGAGGTCGACACGCAGAATGGACTGCAGATTTCACCGGAACCCAGCCGCCAAGCCGCCATGGCTGCCCAGACGGGGTTACCGGAGGGCATGAACAGCGAGAAGAAGTCATCGGAGGATGCGGGCCTGGGAGTGGTCACAACAATTCACCATAGCTTGTAGTTGGAAAGCGACAGCAGGGCAGATGCATTGTATTGTATACTACATTAATATAGAGAGATAGACCGCGCATGCGAATCAGTACATTCACGTGGGAAAAAAACATCGGAGTATAGCATCATGTGAAGCATGGCTTACACCTATATTTGGTGGCAGTTCAGGGCGTTGGGCGGCGTGGTCTGTGCATGTGCACGAAGTCTAGTTACCGAAGCTTTGTGTGAAGGTTTTGATATGCAAGAACAGCAACTGCAGATTACGTGATGGTCAGGGCCGCCTCGTCCTTTCCTTTCCGATCTCTTTGGGTCGTGTTGCAAAATTGGGATTTCGCGACACCAGTTTCCAGAGTGTACACATGACTACTGATGTTTATCTTGTGTGCATGTTTTGGCGTTACTTTTCCCGGAGACACGGATCTATCCTATCGTCAATGTGCCGACACAGCCGAGGCAGATGGTTCATGATCCAGAAGGGCTCTCAGGTTATCTTAGGGTTCCGTGCTCGATGTTTGAGGGCCTTCGAGAATGTTTGATATTGGGTTTGGGAACCCTGAACTGGTGCCAGACACCTCGTCTCCACGTTTCAAGGACAGTTCGCGCCACCGTTCTAGCCGGGACTCATTGCTCGGGACACCAGCACGGACGATCGAAATATCGTTCTTGAGGGAAGATCCTGGCAGCCACGAGCTCTCAAACGAAAAAGTTTCTCGGTCATCTGAACGTGGGCACCCTAGAAATCGTTCGAGAA